TGGTTTGTGGCTTGTGGCGCCGTCCTGTTGGAACCACATATTGTCCAARTCTATATCATCTAATTCGGGCCAAAAATATTCGGTTATAATTGAGCAGTAACGATTCCTATTTATAGTAACTTGYCGGTCTTTATCATCATGGAAGAAATACCTAACCATAATTTTGTAGGGATGCAGTGGTGACTCATGAGATATATGTGAATTGCTGCTTGACTAATAACGCATATTTTGCTTTTTGATGAAGCCATTGAGCCAAAAATGAAGATGATTTTTCGATGGARATCCGGATCATTTTCAAGTTGTTGCTCAGCCCRATTCACGAGCATATGACGATTCTCGTGGTCAAGCGGCTTTAGTTCTTGAGTCAATTTGATCTTGTCAGGACGTAAACAAAGATATTTTCGCAAAATTCGCCTCATCGACGTCGCAGATATACCCAACGATGCCCCAGCGGAGCAATAATCCCTCACACTATGGCAAATTCTTTGTCTCACTGACATGGGAACATTTGTACTATGCCTGTGGATTCAAATTTTTCCACTAGCTGCTCAATTGTTGATCTGACAGGACGATTATGACGATGAAGTTGAGGTCACTGACTCCGAATCTCGGTAGTAAATTTTAATTATTTGAACTCGTTGTTGTATCGTATATCTTCCATACTGAAGAGAAATGTTAAAGAAGCGTTAAAATATGGCCTCGTTTGCTCTCCCTACCTATCTTTTATAGCGTCCCATTTGAAAAACCCTTTAGTATACAGTTTTGCATGATAAATATATCCTGTTTGCATCTTAAGATTCCATATTGTGTTTTTGGCGATATAGGAAAAAGCTATGTTGAATTTTCCTAAGTGTTTAAAAATAAGATAGAATTCAATTGGAATCGTTTCCTCTTTCCAGTGCATAAATCATCCTTTATCCTGATATAACTATTAGACAAATATCTCTACAAATTACGAATTTCTGGTGACAACGATTTTTATCCACTTCTGGCTGTTACTTATTCTCTTGATGAATTTTGCTGCGGTTGCTGAAACAACTAACACCGCAACCAAATACCTTCAAGGCTGGTCATGCAATATAAGCTTCGTTCAGTAACCCACGAGTGAATAGGACAAGTAAATGAAATAAGCATAAGTGCCAGAACTGTTAAGGGCAAAATGTTCTGCAAAAGCCATTAAAGATACTATGACGCTGTGGATGAAATATAATCCACACAATACCCATTTGTACTTAACACCTTCTATTAGTAAAGAATCTTTTTACTGAAAATCCGCCCACACATTAAGTGACCGTCATAAATTTGCCCACCGACAAGCACGCCTTTACTTTAACAGCTCACTTGTACATATGCGCCTTAGTTAATGACCGCTCGAGGCCAGCACAATGTCGACTCTTCTCACCTCGTCAAATCACGTGTGAAACACTGGTGGGGTGCTCGTGTTGTGYGCCTGCCATGCGGAGTATTGATGGGATTATTAGCTCATCAAGTTTAACGCATGATATGCTTAAGAGTACTAGTATAATAACGTCACACGCGACTAAGAAAATAAACAAACAAAATATTTGAAAAAAAGAATATTGAAATAGGTTGTGTAGCGTCGCACAAGCTTGTATACGAGGGTGCTCGTTAAAAGGAAATGTTACACCCGTAGAATAGCGTACTTTTCAGTTATCCACAGATAATTAGAGGGTATACCATTTAATTTGAAAAARAAGTTACTCCACATTTAGTTAGAAAAAATTGGTTGGTGTGTTGACCCGTCTACAACTTCTCTAACAAAAATAATACTGGTACAACCAAGACGTAATTTACTTCGGGAATGAAAGTCATTGAAAGCAGACGTCTACTGAGTTTTATCGGACTCCACACTGAGCGAAGCGGCAATGAGATTTCTTAGTTGCAAGAAGAATCAATATGGAGAAGTGTCTCCATAAAACTTTATAAATATTTCATGGATTCTTAATTATTCAGTATCCTACTGAGCCGAATCGCATTATGATGGTATGATTATTAGTGGCTACAAACAATAATACTTCTTCCGCTAAATGTGCACCATCTTGACGCGGACTGGCATTTAAACTGCGCATACAAACCGAATGGAGACTCGATTACAAGCTTTTCACATTTGTGTGAAGTTTGATCCTCAGAGGTCAATTAGTGTTTGGTTGGCATCTCTTTGTTTACGAAGCGAAAAGTTTGTCCGGCGATTTTTGTCATAGAAAAATTTTTTAATAAATATTTTGCTTGAAATTTCGTGTTTTGAATGAGAGCACGGCTACGACAAGGTTGCAAAGTGTATTATAGAGTTTCCCTTCCCTTATCTTATTACGAACAAATGTATTCACTGGAGGTCGTACAGACATCGAAAAATTGCCTTAAGTGAGTCGGCCATTCATTGGAACGATGACCTGTACGAGTTGTACGACGCCATTGACATAGTTCAGCGAATTAAGAGACAACAAAAAGTTAAAGAAACTGTGTTTGAGGAATGTCGTGTTGGCATCAGATAAACAGCAAAGGATCTCGACATCTCTAATGGCTCGATATTGTATATGAAACGTCTCAATGCTAGACTTGTACCAAAAAACCTGAATCTTTTGCAAAACCGACGTCAAGTAGAGGTGACAAAAGAGATACTTGACTATGTATTTAAGGACCCTGAATTCATCAAACACGTCTTTGCAGGAGATCTCAATTTAGATAGCGACCCAACTGTGATACAAAACCGAAAAATCAAAATTCGCTAAAGGAATTACAGGCCTTGCCAGCCGAGACTTATAGGAAGCTATATTTTCTAACTCTAGGTGCACTAAGTCTGCTTGGCGAATTTATGAAGCGCTTTACGTTCAGTGGATCTTAAAATACTAAAATAAATTAGTATACTCTGATTTGAGAAGTTTTTCCTGCTTTGAATATCTCTCATCTAATTATGTTGATATTCTGTGTTATGCTGAAAATGTTACACTTTTTAAGAGAGTGCTATAATATTTCCTCACAGAGGTGGGGAAATTGTTAAATACCACTTAAAGGAAACGTCCTCTTGTTTAGAGTTACTGTGTATTTTTCTTGAGACTAAAGCAAGTATTAATTAGACTGTTAGTAACAATAATAAGAGAATTATAACAATAATTTCAATTCTATTTTTATAAAAGTCGATTCGAAAGTCCAAAACCCCCATTTCCACCCATAAGTCTGCAACGTAATTATTGTTTTGATTTCCACCGGCGTTGAATTGGTTTATAAATATTTTTATTGGTTTCTATTGTAGACACATGCTTTAATTATTCCTTGTTAACCTCAAAAACCAATATAAATAAATGTAGAAAATTCTTAAAAATATTTTTCCATTTCATTGCGGTACTATAAATTGGTTTGCTTTGAAGATTACAATTTGAAGCAGATGTGTGCATGAAAACAATACAACAAAATTGAAAAGTACCTATTGTTTACCATATTTTACAGAATCAATATACGTAAGTAAGTACAGGGTGCGCCATCCTTTATGTCGCTTTCTGAAAATTTAATAACTTTTAGAAAAAAATTTCGTATTTTAGATATTTGATGCTTAATTTGACCAAGTGGCCGCTTTATTGATCATTGTCATCGTCATTGATCATTAAAGTCTTCCTTGAATTTGACACCAATGTTTACATAAGGTTTGTGATTTTATTACTGTTATATACTTTCCTTTACATGTGTATGTAAGAAGGGAGGGAAAAAAATGTTCCAGAAATTTAGGCTATATTGTCCCTTCTTGACATTGACATCGAACATCTAGGCGGTTTCGCTCTTGCAGAATATAAACTGAATTCACTGAGTGAATTGAAAATAGTAAAAGTTAAGCCTTTCTCATACATTAGTTCGTATATTAATAGTATTTGGAGAAAATGGTGGATGGAATAGTAATTTGTAGGCGAAGGTGAAAGGTCCTTTCACTTACGCTAGAGAAATTCTCTTGGGAGTGGCCAGAAACAATTATTTTGTATATGGCACGTTTAAAACGAGCTAAAGTGAAAAAGCGAAACATCTTTTCCATGGGTTGTACGCTTGATTTGGGACCCGCCACGTAAAAGACACCAAAAATGGAAGGCTTAGCTTTTTCTAAGTAGTATCTCTGGGTCAAGTGAAAAGAGCTATAAAAAAAGATATGTTTAGAAATAAACCTTCGTTTTCTATAATTTTCTTTTTAATTTTGTAGACTATGCTCTTATTTGAGCGTCCTCATAGAGTCAATATGCGGAGTGTTGCCTTGGTTAGATTATTACATAATTGAACTTTGCAAAACAACACAATCGGTTGGTGAATGTCAAAGTTACTCAAAAAACGGAAAAAGCTGCGTACCCTGTATGTACATACTTGTATGTACATGTATATGTAAGAATCTATATTGAGAATACATTTCGTTCAAATCTAAGCGCAAATTTTTAAGCAAAAAGTTTGAGTAAAATTAAATAACTTGTACTCATTAAGTATTTGTACAATGGAATGTAAAACATGTAATATAATATTAATTAGTTTCATGAAGAAATTGTAAAATATTTACAAAATATTTTCCTTAAGTTTATATTTTTTGTAAACGAAATCATTAACCCGCTACTACTAATATTTTATACTAGTAGGTATATAAATACTTAAATTTTTTACTTTTGTTGTAATATGCATATACATATGTATGTATGTATAAATTTGTATAACTTCTGTTAAAAAATATTATATGAGATTCCGTTGACTCGCTAGCTAAAAATATTTAAATTTTATATTAAAAAACATTAAATGTACATAATAAGCATTTTCTAAATTTCATATATGTACACTTATAAGTACATGTGTATATTTTTATGTAATTATGTATCCAAGATACTTTGAACTATCAGCAATGACTCGTGATGTTTTCTATTTATAGTTTAAATGACATGATATTTATTTTTATTATCAAATGAGGAGATGTATGTATGAAAATATAATTGTTTTTACTTATTTATAGGCACAGCGCTCACCTGTCAACGTCAGCATCCATTTGTTGTAAGTAGTGGGTGGCGTCGTCGTTGTTCGCCGCCAACGACCCATTCTAGAGAGTTTAGGTTTTACTTATAAGTATGCAGTTGGATTTGCAATGAGTTGTTTGAACTAGGAGTTGAGAGAAAATATATATTATATGATCGAATGTATGTTTTATAAAAATACATTTATGTATATACCTACATATACATATTTTCTAAATTATTATTTTCTTTACTTTTTACAATTTTTAAAAATTACTAAATGTACCAGTAGAATATATTATGGTCTCTCTTATTATTATGTTCGTGGGATTATCTTTGTAGTTCAAATATTACTAAATATATTTGTATAACAGTGACAGCACTTTTTCGCTGGACAGCAGATTTCTCTGTCCCCTAGAAACGAAATAAACCGCTTAACATGTAAAGAATGCTTTTCACAAATAACTTTTCCGAAAAAATGGGAGAAACGAGAAACGAAATTAAAGATTTTGAAGCACTTGTCCCTCCTTATAAGTTTTCTATTCCATCATCTATTCACTTCAGCGCTATCACTTTGACTTTGCGGAGTAATGATTTGACGTTATATTATTAGACTTAGAAAATAGGATGGAACATTATAAAGCTAGGAGAGGTCATCACACAAATGATATTCATAACTTCATAAACTATGAAGAACAGATATTTTCAATATTTAAACCATCCTATGGGTAGAACTACAGATGATTTAAAAAATGATCTCAGTCAAAAAACGATATTCATTGATATTCCTGGTTTAGTCAATAAAGAAAGACGGTCAATAAGGAGATTTATTTGACCGTATTGAGGCGTTTACCTGAGTACGTCAGTCGAAAACGACCCGAATTGAGGAAGAACAATGGAACCCGTTTTCAGTCGAGGGAAGAGATAAAATAAAATTCTCTGAAGAAACTGAATGCTCAAAGAAGTGCTTATGAAAATTGTTTCGAAGATGGGAAATGTGGTTGGCATAGGTGTATTACATTTAGTGGGAATTACTTTGAAGGCAACAAAATAAATATTGATGAAAAAATAAATATTTTGTGTTTCCGGGTACCTTTTTGACAGAATGTGTACCAATGCTATGACTTACCTCTAATCAACCGTATGCAATTGAGAATTACTTGATTCTATAAGATCAACCAGAGCAAGCAGCTTCGTCGCTAACAGTACACAGTCATCGTGCCTCTTCTTCAGTGTATTAACGACCGCCTTTTTGGAACTCGCCTCTCGTTCTGTGATAATTATCCTTTACCGGCGTCTTTCTAATATTTCACTGCTTTGTTTTACAGCAATAAAAAGATCATTCTACCAGTAATTGCAAGTCGTAAGTGAATTGAATCATTATAAATTCATGTAATGAATTATCGATCCACAATTAATTAATTAATCTTGACTTTTCATTTTTAATTAAAATGCAATTATCAGACAATAAGAGAGTGAGTGTGTGATTTTAAAATAAATGTATTCTAGAAATATTCAATTCACTATTTTCTGACTAATTTCTAATAGTAATTATAGTGTAATTGTAGTAATTTTCGTTCACAAGCGTAAAATCTAAAAAATAAATTGATAATATATTTTAAAATTAAAAACTGCAGAAAGAAGAGGAGCATGCCAAATTATTTATATTTTCTAATAATAACAATATTTTATATAAAAGTGACATCGGAAATATTCTCCTGATAAAATGTATTCTTTTTTTTTTTTTTTGTTTATGAAAAAAGATATTAGTGACGTCAATGTATCAGGGAAGAAGATTCTATAATCTTGTACCGCATTTGAAATCCCCTTATTTGAAATATACATGTTTTTATATGTCTGCAGAATGCATTGTGCATGGAAACAGTAAAATATTTTACGACGATATTAATGAAAATTCTAAATATATCTGGATAAACGGAAGCGAATTCAACTTGTTCAAAAAACGAGTGTAAGTATCTATGAGATATACATATATCATTTGGTTTAAATATCTTCAATAACCTTTCCTTATAAAGGGTGCTCCAAAATTAAAGCCAGATTTAAATTTGCCGCCATTTATGTAGTATAGATAGTTGATAATTAAAAAAAAATTAAAAAACCGAGCTGATAGTTTAAGCTTAATAAAATGAATGGTACGAGATAGAACAACGTGTCTTTATTACTGAACAATATTTCAAAAATTATGAAATCTTGGCGGCTGCAGTTAAAAAATTTCATACAAAATATGGCCGGAATAGTATTTTAACTTCGTCAACTGTGAAGAGATTTTGAAATGGCGGCAAATTTAATATTTGCGTTTATTGTGGGACACCTTGTGTTTTTTTTTTATTTCTCCAGGCTTGTTTATTTTTATTTTATTCTCTTTAACTTTCTCACTCTTCTCCTACTCCTAGTTCGGCAGAAGCAACTCAAAATTGAAATTTATAAGCCATGGAACACTTTAGTTCAATGCTGTTAGTTGGTCTTACGAAATGATGTGAGAACAATATGTTAACAAAACCCTAACTCTAACAAGAAAATAATTAACTTTGGTCCGAAGCTATAAGACCCTTTATAAAAGCAAAAGATGCTTAACAAGAACTTGATTTTGATCGTTCAGTTTGTATGTGTGTTATATGATATAGTGACTACATCTGAATGCCTTGAACAATAACTCAAGCCAAATTTCGTGAAGTTATCTCCTCAAATGAAAATGTTTTCCTTACAAGCACTTGATACATATCATTCAGTTTGTATGGCAGATATGTGCTACAGCAAAACGAGATAACCACCGAACCCGATTTTCTCAAGAAAAATTGGTTCACTTTCGGTTGAATGGGTACGCTAATTAACAAAATTGTCGTATGTGGAGTGATAAAAAGTCTCTTCTCATCATTCATGTCCTATTATACGGCGTATGAATGACGATGATTCGAGAGGAGAAAGCATCTGGAGTATTCAAGAGAACTGCTCATCGTAAGATCTTTGGAATCGTCCGCGTGAGGCATGAGTCCAGAAGATGGAACAGCGAACTAAAGGAGAACTAAAAATCTAATGAATGCGCTGGTTAGGCCATGTCGTTCGCAAGGAAAGCTCTCTCAACTCGAGACCCATGGGAGGATAACGAAAGCAAGGCCGCACACGCATCCAATGGAAAAACTAAATATATAGCGCCCTGTCCGCACATGGGGTATAAGACTGGCATGACCTTGCAAAGGATAGTAGCATCTGCCGAATTTTGTGTTCCCTGTCCAGACCGACCCACGGTTGTAGTGCCGAAGAAGTAGAACCCATTATTTGTGGTTTGTTTTGCATCAGACTTTTCCTGGACATTTTCACAATCTTTATGTTGCTATTTATATGTCAAGATTCAAAAATTAACATCACAAGATCTTCTCAGAGCTTATGAGCCTTTCAGATTCTGTTAGGAGTGGTTGAAGCACACGCCATGGTGTCAAAGCTCATACAGCTTTCATAGAAAGAAGCAAACGAACCTATAACCTTTCCCATGACAGTCAGATCTAAGAAACCGTAACGGCCTCGGAATTTTATTTGTCCACGGACTTTCAACTTAAAGGCGTACTAAATGAACTTAATTCTAACAAGAAGGTATTACATGCCGTACAGCCAACAAAAAACATTGAAGAAAACTTTTGGTGAGTGCATTATCTCGCGTCGAGTGCGATTTAAAACCGCTGGGCTAGTTTTGAGGCATTATGTGACTTGTCTTCGCAGATCTACACGAGATGATTGGAGTGTTGGAAGAAAATATTCAGCGCGTTATTGCTGACATACGAACCCAATTGCCGCAAAAAGCAGTTGAAATTTGTACCAGTCGGCTGAAATTTATACGAGCCAGCTACGGCTGTCACTTCATTTCTAAATGAACTTTTTATTTATAACATTAAATTTTATGAGTTTTATTTCTTCTTGAAAAACATATGTATGTCTAAAAAAAACATCTTGCAAAGCAATCAGGGTATAGACGTCACTTTTAACGCATTTCAAATAGATAGCGAACTGTGTATAAAAGATAGAGAAATGTGGTGCAGCATTTAATCGAAAATCTTCGCTGTTTGGAAATCAAAAAAATTTATTTTTAGACTAGACAACATCCAGCTGTATGGTCAGCAGAAAAAAAGGCAAAACAGAAACCACTTGCAGGCCACAAAAATTAATCTATAGAATTGCAAAAATAAAAAAAAAATTGTATTTGTTAAATATAATTGTCACACGCCCACTTTATGCCGTCCATCACGCGTTCAGTTCTAATATTAAACAAAACTGTTTCATATCTCGCAAAACTAGCAAACCTACAATGAATACTAAGTGTTTTTAGACGCATAGAAATTAAGTTGTAACATATATTTTTGATATCAGTAATAAAAGTGTGACTGGCAAACGAGCGCTGCCCGATGGGTGCACTAACAAATTAGCATCGATGTGTGGGTGAGTTCGTCGCATGCTCACATTGAACTCTGGCAAATTATCAAACAAATAACTTAAATAAACAAAACAAAAAAAAAAAAAAAATTAAGTAGGAAAGCGCTAAGTTCGGGTGTAACCGAACATTTTATATTCTTGCAACCAAGTTTGCCAAGAAAGATTGAACATGTGTGAAAGTGACCACAAATTTTTTAATAACGTAATTACAGGTAACAGGCTGATTTTTATTTGTTTCCTTGCCTGAAAAGGCCGATGAAAGGCAACATTTTGAGACGACAGAGGGGATCCGAGTAGCATGAACCTCGGTTCATAAGGCTATTCCGGTGTATACCTTCCGTGACGCCTTCAATGTTTGGAAATCGTGATGGCAGCGTTGCATCGAGGCAGAAGGAGCCTATTTTGAAAGTTTTTAAAGAATTGTAACGATTGGTTCAGTACATTTTTTTAAAACCACTCAGTCCTATAACTTTCCGGACAAATCCTCTATTTTCATTGAGATAACTCACATTTTGCCCGATATATGCTCTGTAAAGTCACCCAGAAGTTCGAAAATCTTTTTATTAGTTGTATGTGTGCTAAGGAAAGTACTGACTCAATCCAACAAATTTTTGACACACAGACATACTATTATCAGGAAAGGATTCTCACCAAATTTTAATTATATATATATCTCACCTTGACATTATTTGCGGTACAAAGTCAAGTATCGGTATTGGGATCCTCATATTCGGCACTTAGGGGCTTGAACTGTTTTGGTTCGATTTGGACAGTTTTTGATCATAAGGTGACATACCTCAAAGGCAATACGTCTCGTCAACCTAATCATTTATATGTACCCTATATCTAACTCGTTTACTTCTAAGTGATACAAACAACCGTTAGATGAATAAAACCATTATCCTTTGTAGCAACATGTTGCAGGAGTATAAATATATTAACACAAGCGAATTTCTTGAGTGACTACTAGGCATGTGGTAAACTGGCACAAACATACGAACGTACAGCTTCATGTACCTATGTATATATATATATATATGTATATATGTAAATCTGTAAATGTATATATGTATGTGTATGCGTAGTCTAGTCTGTTCAGCATAAGCGTGTATTTTATATTAAATCTATTTCTGAACACAACACACTTCAGCGAACAGAATGCAGTCACCACTAAATGTCACACACATGCACGTGTATGTGTGCGGGCAGTAAATAAAATGTTTTGTTTTTGTTTTTTTTTTAATAAAATTTTAGTAGTTTCCCCTTTTCGGCTATACTTCTGTGGGTCATGACGATATTTGTTTTAAGGCTTTTAGAAACGAGTTATTTTGGACGGGCATACTTGACGTATACGTAATCAATTTTGTAACATTGCAATTTTGCGGGCAATCAAGTGGTTTTCTTTCCCCGAAATGATTCGTTTTTAGGTTATAGCGGAACAAAGGAGCTTCATTTGTTTTCTTATCGGCCTGAAAATTTACATTTTGTTATAGCCGATTTATTTGTTGAATATTTACTTGAATCAAATCTTGGAGCCAACCAAAGGGGTCTAATCCCTCTGCTTCATTTTTCTGACTGGTTCAAGTACAAAAGAGACTTATTTACTTAATATATTATATGAAAGCATTATAAGATATCTAATAACTTTCAACGGTTCGGAATATACCTTCTGATCAAATTTGGTTCGGACTAGACCATACTGACGAATTGACCCCTGAACAGGGTACAAGGGATTTCCACCTCTCCTATGGATCGGCTCAACAACCGAAACCGAGAAAAAACAGAATTCGCTGAAGGCTCTCTCTGCCGAGGCTTATAGCAAGTTTATGGAAAATTTAATAAAATTAGCTCAAAAGGAGAAAATAAGGTTTGGAGGATGGAGTCATCTGTAGAAGTTCACGCAAGTGAGGAAGTTGTCTGACCGTCATTTACTTGGTGGCCAGAAACGATTCTTTTACATATGGCTCAAGCAGCTCACGACTTCTGATCTTAGACCAAGTATCCCCTTCCAGGGTTTTGAGCTGGATTTGGGACCCGCCACATAAAAATCGCTACCAATAAAAAGGAAACAACCAACTCGGATAATGAACAAGGGCAATATTTCCTGTCATCAAACAAATAATCGTTGCAATCACGACTTGGCTCCCACGTTACTGTTGATAGTCATAACTTCAAAGTGGTAGATAATTTCGTCTATCTTGGAACCAGTATTAATACTAACAACAATGTCAACCTCGAAATCCCATTGAGAGTAAGTTTTACAAACAGGTGTTACTTCGGACTGGGTTAGACTCGTTTCTAACACTTTAAAGAAGCGGTTAAATAGCATTTAAGTGGTAAAAAATTAATTTTCTAACTTAAGCTAACCTATGCTTATAAGGTTAGCTTAAGTTAGATTTCGAATCCCTCAGCGATGCGTAAGGATCATACTTAGGCGGATTGTACAGTCTTTTGTGATACCAAATGAAAAACTCCTTTACTTGGATATCAGTTATCGATAAAAACGGCATGAATCTACCACAAAACTAACTAAGGTGTTTTATTTCTATTTGCGATATTTAACTTAGATGTCTAAAAATATGTGATTCGAGGTGTCTTGCCTTGTTCCGTCAAAAGCGGAAAATACAAAGAGGAAATTTTGAAATGATTCTATCTCGTCTTTCAAACAGCTGATACAGTTAATGTCCTATAAGATTCGATAATATTGCCTGAATGCCGAACGGACAGTGTTCAGTTATAACTTCTACAACACTGGAAATGTGGACCTTATTGGGAGCGAAGAATTCTCTAAATATCTTATGATTTACCCGAGGGGGAGAAGAACCTTGCGTTGATTTAATTTGAAATTCAAAAGTCCAGTAGGGAACAACAAAAGCCAACGAAGTTCCTACCCGTTCCCATTCCGCAGTTATTGAGTCTGAAGTACCAGTATGTTCAACAGTCTCACAGTTTCCTATAGCCAGGCTATCAAACCATAATTCGGTGGTAGAGAAAGGGAGTTTATACATCTTTTACTAGTTTTATGGGCACAAACAGCAAAGTCAAGGCTAATATCGGTGCCCTAGTATGGAAGTAGATACCCAACAGTGTTCTTCTAATAAAAAAGATTTTCTATCAGAGGTGAAGATAATAACGTTCGGGAATTCGAGAACATCGACTAATCTTTATATATTAACCTAGCCTAGTAGCTAAAATTTATTTAAGAAATGATGTTGTAAAGCTGCAGGATTGACAGCTGTAACACAGGCACATCTACATACATACAGAAATACATATGTATATAATATAGCTGTGTACAAGTATAGCTGTCAAAGACTGCTTTATTATTTTTGTTGCAAAATCGGAAACTGTGCGCTAATCTAGTGTTGCAAATTCTGTTTATAAATACTACGTTGCTTGTACGTATGTATGTATGTATATATTTATGTGTGGCGTGCTGCGTTGGCTGCCTCGCCGTGTGTCAACAACAAATTTATGTAAGGCACTGATTTATCGATTGCCGAAGTTACGAAAAGAAAAAATAGTGCGAATATAGGTAGCCACATATACATACATACATACATACAAACATTCGCATGTATGGATGCACATTGCTACTATGTTATTGTTGTTGTTTTTACTATGCTATTGCCAAACACACAGGGAATTCGCTTGCCAGTCATTGTTTCATAATTAATCGATGAAGAAAATGTTGCAAAAAACCGAGAAAGGAAAACAACAAAAAAGAGCTATGCGTATGAATAAATACAGGGTTAGTGGTTCAACTTCTAACTACACGTGTATGTGTATGTGTGTGTGTGTGTGTGTGTGAGTAAGTACATAAAAATGTTTGTATGCAATTTACAAGGCTTAACATCGAAACCGTGTCAGCGGCAACAATAACAATAACAGGTGACTACCGAAACTTTACAACAACACGCCTGTAAGTAGGCAATGCAGGTTGTCAAAAATCTATGCCAACTGCGCTGCTGGCGCAGATCCTTGCAACAACTATGTTTTGCAACATAAATTTTCATTTTCCTTACGCACGAATTTTGTTTTTGTTGTTCTGTTTTTTTTTTATATGGATTTGTAACACATTTCACTTTACATTTGCACTAGCGTTTTTTATTTTTTTTCTTGCTACACCATTGGCTAATTTTGCTTATGCTTCACTTTTTCAAACTCCAGCTGACTACGCCCGTTCGGCTGCGCTCACCCGCTGCCTCTACTGCAGCACGCAATCAATTCATCGATTCTTTCCTACTTGGCACGCACTTTTTTCATACTATTCATTTTCTCTGTATTTCAAATGCCTGCACACACACGCACACGTTATTGCTTTTGTATTTTTTATTTCAATTTTTTGCACATATTTTACTTTGGCAATGTCTTATTTCGACTTTTTCACAAATTTTCACCAAAAAAATTTCTAATTAAAAATTTCCATGCTTTTGTTGTTGCCACTTTAGTAATATATATTTATGTGTGTGTGTGTGTTGCAGACAATTTGAACGTGCGCTCGAATTTTTCCGTTTTGTTGCGCGTTATCCGCCGTTACGAGAGCAACTGACTCGGTCGAAAGCGTTTGGGTGGTCGCTCAGCCACGTTAGCCGAATTCGTTGGCCATCGGGAGTATTTTTGTTGACATTGCTTGTGGTATTTAGCGTTCAGGGATGCCAGCGCAACTGAATTGTTGTTGAAATTGCTTAACACGTTCTTATTGTAGTGGTAGAACAAGAGATTACAGTCTATCGGTAGTTTTTGAAAAAAATAAATATATACATGAACTTAAGTAAATAATTATTAACTTTGCAGAAAAAACTTTGATTGTTGTTGTTTGTGCTTGATGGCAGAGACATAAAACACTTTGAAATAGGTTTGAGGCCATTCCACTGAGTTGACTGTCTTTGGTCATGATATGAGTCTAGCCAGTTGCAGTTATTTAGACCTGGCTGTACTCACGACAAAAATTTCTTTCCTTTAACTTCTAGCTGTATCTTCGGAAGAATAAAGCTTTTTTGACAATATCTTCGGAAGAGAAATGCCTTTTTTTGCAATATACTTAGCGGTTAGGCACGTGCGTTTTACGGCTTCAAAAAACGATTTTTTTATTGTCTAATTTAACTCTATAGCGTCTTTAGAATAATGTCCTCAGGTTGATCCGAATCAAAGTTTTATGTTTTTAAAGTCATAACGCAGGTTTTAATCGAACAAAAAACTATTTTAAAAAGTCGAGAAATTTTCAACAAAATTTGCTTTTTTTGTACGTTTGCCAAGAAATACAATATTCACTTTTTCCTTCGTTCTTCGTCGTTTATGGACTTAATTAAAGCCAAAGCGATGTCCGTAATTGCAAGATTTTTTAACTTAGCATAATTCGTTCTCAAAACTTAAGACACATTTTTCCGGAAACGCTGTTATCATGTCATCGAATTCAACTTTTCAAGATTTTAAGCTTCATTTATGAAATTTGTGCAGTTTAAGGAGACGATGTTATATCAGCTCGTGTAGCACAACAATGGTTCGCTCTCTTCTGCTCTGGAAATTTCGAAAATTCGATTTACACTGATGAAAGTTTTACACCAATGGAAAAATGGTTAAAAGAAATCGACCAAAATGGTACATATTAGTTTATTTATTTCTTAATAGAAATAAAAAAAAATAAGATGAAGTTTGGTTAGAATACGAAAATACTTTTTCGAATACACAATATTAGGAATAAAGTTTTTGATGATCATTTCGATTTTGTTTTAAATTTAAATTCACTTTAAAATGTAACTTATTTTACAAAAAACTACTAATTTTTTTTTTTCAGAAATCAAAATTTTGACAAATCCTCCTAATATTAGTTATATTTTCATATAGGATTTATGTTATGTTAATATATATACGAGATAAATGTATATTAATAATGCATTTTTTGGATGTTAGATAGTTTGAAGTAGAGAAGTTTCGAAGAATATTTCGAAATTGACAAGTCCTTGACCGGTTAAAATAGGCGTTACGTTGACGGTAAAAATTCCGGGATGTCTTGGGTACAATTAAAACATGTTTTGACCTGATTTGCAAGTGAATATGACCTTGAGGTCATATTGTTTCCAGAAAAAATACTAACTTCTTCTTTGGCAAACCGGGATACAAGAAGCAACTTTTGAGCTAAAAAAAACGTATTAACTACAGTTGTATCAATAACAATACTCTCTCTATACTCGTATTAATATTATTCCAAAAATGTAATCTAACAGTGTTGGCAATCCAGCTCTATCCCATTCTCTCATTTAACGGTTCTAAACAAAACTACCGGATAAATGTGGTCAGAGAGAAGTCAATATCTATCCACAATATCTGCATCCATTGACATTCGCTTAGCTGTCTTGTTTTTTTAGCTGTGTCAAGTGGGATTCTCTAAGCGATTAAAAAATATGCCACAACAAGTGTGTTATGTGGAAAAGCGTGATGTTCAAAAGAGCTTTTGAAAGCTTGGAAGCTTGTAAGACTGTTTGACGCCAAGCATAGCAATATTTTAAATTCTTTTGGTGCAATATTTATTCATATGGAGAGGACCAGTTTCGCATCGTTATTCGACTATTTTGGTTCACATGTTGAAAATGATTAATAACGAATTATTTTCAAATGACTTTAGTCCAATATATATTAGTCCATGTCTTTTATGTCAAGTAATCACGATTGTTGGAAGAAAATGTCTGACCTATTTTTGTTATGCTATTATTTTAGCCTCCAAGTACACCGGGTGCTGCAATAAGTTTTACCTAACAGTTTGTCCATGAACCAAGCGCTCCTAAAATAAGATAATTAGAAGGCAGAAGAAATAATAATGTGTGGTAGTAGTTTATAGCCGAATATGACCTCGATTCCGTTACGGTCACGTGGACCCGACTATCTTGGAACTTTATCTTTAGTATTCAATACAAATACATGGAAGCAAGATCTACATATAACCTTTCAGAAATCACAGCATGTTTTTAGGGTACAGATGATGCTTCGTCAGATGTATAGTACCAATTCCACTCAGTTACTCCTTAATACTTCTCACAATTGTTTTTTCCCCGGACGTTTCAGGAGGTTGAAATCGTCGACGTTGTTGGTTTAGGTCTTGTGCAACGTTGTTATATTTAGTGCTTTGACTCGGTATGTATTAAGAATTGCTTCTTAATGTTCCGAGGATGTAATTCCGGTTTAATCAACTTCCTGTTGAGTTGGTATTTATGAAAATATCCAACCAGGTACAACTTGTTCATATATATGTATATTGAAGAGACGTCAAGGGGCAACCAATTACTGTTCAAAGGTGAGGGCTTTATAGTTCCTACTATAACCGTAGCTAGATTTCTCTTCAAAGTTCTTTCCATATTTGTACTGATCATTTTGTATGACAGCTATATGCTTTAGCGATCACATAAATGAACAGCTTCTAGGGGAGAAGTCATGTATATACAGACAGACAGACAAACGGACATGGCTAAACCGACTTAGCTCGGCTGTAGATAGTTTATGTATATGTACACTTTATAAGATCTCCGACGATTTCCTCTGTGGCAAACATAAAATATGTTTTCAATGTATAAAAGTACAAGTTGAAAAGGTGATAGTAAAGAAAAATAAGGAACAGTTTTAACTATGATTAAGTCTTATGTTCCTTTTGTAACGGCTTTTTAACCCCAGTTTGGAGGAAAATTAATTGTCCGAAGTCATCTATTTATATTCCCAGAAGGAGAGATTTGTTGTCGGGATCGGTAACTATATTAAAAGTGAGGAGTGTCAGAAGACAATTAGACCTCATAGCATACAATTATTCAATTTCCTTAATTCGTTTGCCAATTTTTTTTTATTCATAAAATGGTTTTGAAAGCAGTATTACTTAGTAAATTTTAAAATAAAATATTGCAACGTAGTGGTGCCACATACAGTAATTCCATACTACATTTACAAACATTTAGTGTCCAATATTACACAAAAGAGATTCTTAAAATTGCGCATGAAGTTTATATAACATACATTTATTGTTTTTTTTTATTTGTGTTTCTTCAAATCGAGTTATTTGATTAGTTTAATTTCGCCCGACTATTATGATTTTTTCAAAACAAAAAATGTGCCAAATTCGCAGCAATTTTTGTTTTAGCACATTAATTGTAGATATAAAAGCTTTTCATCTTAAAACTAAATATTATTTCTTTATGTATGGGTTTCGGTGTACAACTGCAATGCGCATGATATTCTACTGAGCCTTTGTAAAACCTACCAGCATCTCGACGACGTTTTCACTCCAGACCAAAGGCGGTTAAAATTTTAGTTCCAAACATTAGTTAGCATTGCGTTGTATTTACGATGATGATAAATATATTGTTGTTGGTTTTATATGTTTCATGTAGACTTGACTACTTGCAGTCATTGTAGTCATTTTGCGTTAAGAGTCTCTTCATTCAAATATTTATATTTGCAAGAACAAAAACAAAACAAATATTAAAAAAAAACTAGTATTTAGAACATTCCACCGTAGGGTGCATCAAATTCACTATCTCGCATTGAATAACCGAATATAGTTAAATAGTTAATCACATTACTGATTAATGTAAGTGTAGCAGCAGTCCAAGAAATCTAAAAGGAAATTCAGATTACAACACATTACATGCACGTATATATTAACATTTTTCTTACCACTTGACTATGCGCCAGTACAATTGGAAAAGCAAAAGCGCTTAGCACCATTCCAGCACAAAGAAAGAGTGCGAACTCTGTCTTTGGATTAGTTTCGTTGCCTTGATTGAAGCGCTTCGCTATGAATACCGGTATTACGGATAGGACGTAAAATAGCAACACAAAGAACGGGTAGAAAATCTTCGGTTGTGGCACCGCACACGCTAATATAAGGAATGTCATACCCAAGCATGTTAAAAATGCGCACACCAGTAATCTGTAATAGTAAAGGAAAGTGAAGAGAGAAATATACATTTTACACAACGCAATTAGATTTATTAGGCTATCACTTTGGATCTTTTGTTAACTTACGCTATTATGTACATCGCCATTCCGTCATAAAGATAATGAGCACCGCAGCAACAAAACACATACGAAAAATACAAAAATAATATTAAACAATGATGAACACAGTTTATTTTTCATATAAATACCCTTTAAAGCAGCCATTTTATGAAGTAGTTATTGGATTTATTAAAAATTTTCACTTGAGATCCTTTTGTGTGTTTACGAAAATTGTTGTATCTGCATTAATCATCAAGAAAACAACCAAGTGCAATCAAATGTCAAAATGTAGAGTTACCGTATAGTTTTGGACTGAATTTTGTACTGTTATTGGTTATTCGAAATTTTATATACTTAATTGAACATATACGTCTCCATCTTTCAAAAATAAATAACGTTTCTTTTGCTAAATATAAAATTGTAGTATGTAAAATAAACTGAAAACAAGTTAGAGTTTGACTTTTATATCACCTTTTACTCCTTATGACAACATCCAATTATGTGGCACCATTATTGAGAACAGTTTTGAGAGCACAAAATTGTTGACTAACAGCTGACTACCTATTGAAACATTGCTTTTGCAATTGTTATAACAATTTAATATACAAGTTCATTCGAATTTTATGGATATGTATTATAATTGAAATAACTTATATCAAATTGTGAATCCTCAAAAATCGTTCATTACCTTGTATTTGGTGGTATAGATGAAAAGATTCGATCTTCTTGCTAATTCGGCACAGCATTCACAAGTTGATAGCAATATTAAATAATTCCTTAATAATTCTATGACATTAATGTCGCTGAGGTAGAAAACTAGTTTGCAAGGATCTAGGTCCGGTTCCGTTCCGTTGTTTAGTACAGTCGGAAATAAGGATTAGCTTAGAGAGCTAACTTATGGCAAAACCACAGTTGTTACAAGCGCGGCGTAGGTGATGTCAAATTCAGAGTTCATAGTCCTTTCACTATTGAAACTACTAAAATATTTGTATGCAGTTATGTATGTGTTACAACCTGTCCTCTAACAATTTTTGATAAGCGGACTTGTTGTTCATCAAAAGGAATATTCTTGTGGACCAACGTACCTGCAATTCAACCAGTTTTTTTGAACAGCTCTGTTTTAATAATAAATATACTTATTCAAATTATCAAACTACGGTATAAAACATTTCAAATATATGTACTCATTTGTTGTATTAATATAACGCATTTCCTCACAAATTGCCTGCATTGTAATATAATTATTGCGCCTTTCACAAGGTTAAAAATATCCACTTGAAGCCTTATTACAATACATTACTAGTTCAGGGCTGATTTAAAAGAACAAATAACAACAGCGCAATCGACATAAGGACGAACCACTATCAACAACATATTGCCATTACCATATAACATAAGTAAATCAGCCGCTAGAACAAATGGATAAGACGTGAACGTGACCAATTGAATGCCAGCACTGCGCCAATTGAGAAACTAAAGGCACAAACCGAACTACTACACAGACAAATATATATAAATGTGTGTAGGTGTGTAAATATTTATGTATATGACCAGCACTTGGCTTTTGTTCAAGCATCTTGAGTGATTTTTATGGCTTTACTATGCGCTGATAAGGGCACCATTGAATCATCAAACATATATTTCTGAGGAAACACACATTAGCATATTAGTTGTATGTAACCAATAAAGTTGAGTACAAATCTATATTGTACATGTATGTATGTATACGTATATTATATGAAAAGCTTCGCTATGCGCAAAACCCACACGTCACTGGGACACAAGCACGAATTCTGTATTCTCGCTTGTGAAAAATCTGCAAATGTTTGTTTATTTCTTTGTGAACGCCGAAAAAGTTCAATGGAGCGACCGAAATGGGACGCGCATGAGCGTCAAGTCCTTCAAAAAATTTTCATTGATGAAAAATTTTGTCCTATCCCACATAGAAATAGGTTTAGCAACCGCGCTGCATACCTGCTGTTGCTGCTGCTGCTGCTGCAACGGCAAACATTCGCACACAATAACAAAGCTGCAAGTACTGCAGAGCGAGAAACTTGTTGGCCACATTCACTAGTGAAAGAGAGCCATCCGTACATAGAGCCAGAGTGCAAGACCAGGCCTGTGGGCTTTATATTGTTACACCCGCAAACTGGGGTGGCGTTTGCTGCTTTTGTCAGCTCCCTCGCATACTAGCACAACGCCAATGCCATCGCCACCTGTACGTATTTCAATGAACCGCACTTGAAGGTGAAATATGTGGCAGGCGGTGTCGGAGGTGTGTACAAATACAGTAAAAATTTAATGCAAAGTCAATTCGCACCGCAGTGGCGCAGTTGTGTGTGGCTGAAAATTTGATTTGCCTGTATACAAGAGTGTATGAGCTAGTAGAGCTTTCGCTGTGAACTGTTGGCGGTGTGTGTACACGTTAACGGTTAATCATACGCCTGCGTGTACTCAATAGCGAAGAAGTGCTGTGTGCATAGTGTGTCATAACGGCAGTTTTTGTTGTAGATTTAGGTGAGAAATACTTTTCATTGCTTTATTAAAGCTATTTATAATTATATAATAATAAATTAAAATTTTTGTTAACAAATTTATTATAATTTTCTATAAACTTTTACTATATTTGCATATTTTTGCAGATCGTAAATAATTATTGTACTCTCCGCTATACCGTTGCTATAGGTTTTAACAGCAAACCTTTTGGACGCTAACAATTCAAGCTAACCCCATTCAAATACACTTGTATTGTATTAGTGTTATCAAATAAAGGATTTGCAGATATTTTAATCAAGTTCGTGGGGCAACAAATTTAAACGACCTTGGTCAACGATCTAATTTTTTATTCAATGTCAAAGCCCCAAGTACAAGTACTGTGCTTCGATCATCACCTGTGTTCTTCTACAGTAGCAATATCTGTTTTGTTTAGGGATTGGAGATTATTTTAAGCATCCCTGGTAATCGTCTATGGAATCAAGGAAATCCAAATTTTTTCAATTTGCATCTTAAAAAAAAGCACAAAAACTATTTTTTTCTTATGGACATATCCCCTTAACACGATTAATTAGTAATTGAGTTCGAAAATCAAGATAATCAGTTTCATTGCCCCTAAAGGTATGCTACATTTTACAAAATCAGCATTTAAAATACTATATATACATATATTATACATATGTATATTTAAGTTTTCTTACATAATTAAAATACTGCTAAAAAAAGTAATTTAACACTAATAAAAGCATACAATCATAGTCATCTGAATATATAATTAATGAAAGCGGCCAAGAGATATTTATAGTTTAATATTAATTTTCTTTTATATTTTTATAGTTTTCCAACATGTTGCTACATAGTGTAATAGTTTTGTTCACCTAACAGTTGTACGTATCACCTAAAACTAATTGAGTTAGGGTTATTATAAACAAATGATCAGCCCTCTAAAACGTTTAATGTACATAACTCCCAAATCAGTACCGACAGAAAAATCGGACCGCAAAATCCCCATATAACGGTACTGTTAAAAACAACTAAAAGCGCGATAAATCAATAGCTAAATACGCCAGAGACATTAAATTTTACCCAAGAGTTGGTATATGAGGGCTTTAAAGGAACCAGAGTCACATATCTCCGGGCTTGCTCGAGCGATTTCAACCAAATTCAGTATATTTCATTCTTCTAACATTCCCTTCATACACTGTGAAAATGCGCGAAATCCGGCTAGAGCCACGCTTACCTCCCACATAACCCAATTTTAAATTCCATATGATTATTTCATTTCTCATTATACAAATTAAGCACCAAAGATGTATCGTGAAGTGGAGTGTGCCTTGAAGTGTACAAAAAACTATACAAATCGAACCAAAACGATACAACCCCTTAGGTACCGAATATATGGAACCCAGAACCTATCGAGAGAAAGGTTTTGTGGGAGATTTATGATAGCGCATTCGATAGAACAATGAGCTGTAGGAGATATACGACGATATTGACCTAGTGCAGCGAATTAAGAAACAGCGGCTACGTTGACTAAGTCGGGGGAAGCAGCGGAGAAGGAAGACCTCCATTGCGTTAGAAAGACTAGGTGGATAAGTACCTGGCTACACGTGGAATCTCGAATTGGGTCTAAACAGCGAAAAGGAGGAACGACTGGAACGCTGTTGTATACACGGCATAACCGCACAAGCGGTGAATTTGTTGACTTTCGACCGATACTATATAGGTCAGTGTATGAATTGATATGTCCATGTGGAAAAATTAATTGAATCCGGTCAATACATCCCTTAGTCTTCACATGCCAAAACAAAATATTTCGTTTTTAGGTGACTTTATGCCGCATATATCGGCCAATATGTGAGTTATATCAATGAAAATAAGATTTTTCCACTCATAACATTCTGTGCCTAAAAGGAATACAATTTAGTGAAAACGAACAAACCTTATTTACGAGTACCTGAAGGTATTACCACAACTTTAAGAGGTTACATGGGCTAACGGACTTCAAAATATCGATTTTTTTATTGTCTTATTAAATTGACCTCTAGAATATTATCCAAAATTTTCAAGATGATCCGAGTATGAGTATTAGTTTCAGAGATACAGTCTTGAGAACATGTGCGCTCGACGCTATTTAGACTAAGTACGCCGTCTTTAAACGCGTTTTCCTCAAAATTGTGTTTTTGGTAAGATTTCTCAGGAACTACTTAACCGATCTTTATGAAATATTACACAATTTTTCTGCCAAAAATCCAGTTTTTTTCCTTCATTCAAGTTCTAGGTTGAGGTTTTAACTAAAACACGTATTTTTTTAGATGATCCTGTAAGGAGTTATCCTGCCAACGCGCGCGTATATTTTTTCCGAAGGGTCAGTGGAAATGGTGCCACAACGGCCGAGTTTAAATATTTTTTTTTTCCAAATATTTCAGAATTTCTTTGTTAATAGTGTACATATGTATGTTTGTAACAATAAAAAATTCTAATAAAATATTTAATATTATATTTCATACGAGAAAAAGGTCTTTGCATAGTATATGAAATCAATTCATTGTTATTTTACCTACTTCCAGACACTGTACCGCCACTCAACCAACACATTTGCACTACTGCAATAAACCACCAGCGCGACAGCCAACCAACCAAACCGCTACTGTATCCTTTGTCTCCGAAAGCTTCGTTGTTTTTTCTCTGCAATTTAGCTACTTAGTATCCGTTGCCGCCAGCGGCAGGAGCCCGCGTTGGAGCTGATGAAGCAGGAGCAACAAAACAGCGGCAGCTTGGCGCACTACACATACCCAACGTGCGCTCTCACCACCGCGCTACGGAGGCGTTGAAACATTGTAGAGCATATGCGACGACGACACCATTAACATTTTGCGTCACAGCTCGCAAGCTACAAGTTTCAATCAAATGCCGAACAACAAACGACGCAACCACGACGCCGTTTGTGAAAAAACGAACGTGGCATAGCGTTCAAGCTCCAACCGTGGGACGTTGGCGAACGCCAATTCAGTACAACGGGACACTTCGTTGCTACCAAAACGAACGAAAACGAAACGGAAAATTAAACTTGAAATTCAAATGAAAGAAACTCAAAGGCTACTGAGCTGAACATATACAGAGCAAAAACGCCTACACATAAAATAGAAAAGATTAAATTAAAGTGAAAATTTAACGATTTGCAAATGAACATTTGCACACAACCGCAAGTGTAATTAAGTGTACAGTCAATTTGAGTGGCAGCTGGTGAGACAAAAGTGCAAAAAAACGCAAGAAAAAGCAAAAATCTGTTAGTTACATACGAAAGATTGCCAACTGCCTACGCGCGTACGAAAATCAATAGTCAAACGTTCGACGAGCGTGCAGCGGGCGCGCGAGACACCAGCACAACAACATCAGCAACAATACCAACTACAATAACGGTAAACGCGTTTGTGTGCACATTGCATTAAAAGGGCAAACGCCAAACGGCACCCGCACACACACACACACGCACCGGCGGCTGAGTGCCACAAAGCGCACCATATGACAGCAGCGAAAAGCGAAAAAACCAAAGTTTGATTGCAATTCGCCAACGTACACGCAAAATTGCATTGGAACCGCTGAACGTCTTTACGAATTTGCACAACGCGTGCCGTGCAAAGTGCCTCCTGTACCCCCAACCCGTCAGAGGTGCGTACGTAAGCAAGTGGCATCGTTCGACGCCGTGCTACAGCGACGAAGTTCACAATGGCCAAGTGCGGTGCAATCGCGCTGGCGCTGCTCGCTGCAGTGCTGCTCAACATTTTGGGTCACTGCGAGATGTCCGTTTACCCAGGTACGTATCGGCTAAAAATAGCACACCACGCAACTGCAATCACACACAAGTAACAGTAACAGTAACAGTAACGGCTTTTATAACAACAAGAACAACAATAATAATAATATGTACGTAATTACAAACTTGCTGCTGAACACACGCGCGCTTGCTAAAAAGGAGGCGCGCGCGTGGGAAAGCAATCGCGAAGAGCGAAAAGCGAAAAGCAAGAAAGGACATTCGAAATGTTTAAATTTAGAAATCGAATTCAAATTAGTAGTTATTTATAAGCACGAGGACAGCGCTTAACTAAGCCGAACAAGCAATTGAAACTTGCCATTGTTATACTGTAATGTGTGTGTTCAATATGTGTGTGTTTGTAGTGGCAAGGAGCAGTATAGACAGGGAGCCACAGAGCTCCTTTGGTCATTCGCACGTTTGGCTTTGGCTATTTTTAAACATTTCCATGCCATTTACGTGCTAAATGCCATTTCGCAACAATTTTACACTTTTGCATATATAAAGCTGTAGAACTGTATAACTGTGTATATGTATAAGTAGTTATATATTCTTGAAAATCAGCCAAAAACAAATAGAGTAGACAACATGCCACATTCAGGAACTCGAATCGAAGTGAAGACATATGTATGTATGTATGTGTGTGTATATATATATATATTATGTGTATGTATATGTATGTTTCATATATGCATATGTACATATGTATGTATGTGTTAGTGCAACTTCGTTAGTCCGTAGTGTTGAATTCAACACGCAATAGCAATCAATTGAACACTTCGCGTATCGAAAAGATATCGGAAAGCACATACACACACACGCACACACAATATCCACATGTCTACCCAAATCCTAATACTGCATAAAACCCAGTTTGTGTTGGTGGTAACTAAGAAAAGCGGATTAGGCGTATAAATAGGCAGCGCCGTAGTTTGCAAGAGGAGGAGGGTGAGGGGGAGTAGGCGCACAGCAGGCTGGCCGTACAAAAGAATAGCAACAATTATCATTAATGGATACATGCCCACCGACAACTGCACATGCAAATATATGTATGTATGTATATATATGCGTGTAACTGTTATTATCACACAACAAAAACAAAAAAGCAACAAAGTTCGGCACTTCATTCAATTTCGTGTACGCGCACTACAAGCTAACTATGTATACATATATATATACGTATATACATGAATACATACATATGTATATACATGTATACTACTTACATATAACGCATATATGTATATAAACCTAAACACATACAAAGGAAACTTAATACTATATAGCGCTGAAACGCGTCACCAGCGCGGTCGTGTTTATGGCCAACACCCTCGAACACCGCCTACTCACTCTGCTCCAGCACCAGTTTTCTACGAATGGAATTCCAAATATAGATCTTACCTTACAAGCAGCGCAACTACTACATGCATACGTAACACAGTTATCCAACAAACAAACATCGGCGCTGAACTTTAGCACGCTCCTTGCTGTTGTTAATGTTTTTGTTGCTCTTGATATCCTTTTTTCGTGGCTTCGCTGTCATTTCCGATTGCAATGCGGTGCTATAATGGGTTTCCATGGTATGGGGTTAGCAGCTGTCGCAAGCTTTCTCTGCCCGTTCGCCTGCTTGCGTTCAGTTGTTGTTGTAGTTTCGTGTAATTAGTTGGGTTGGGCAGCAATGCAGGTTATATTTCGGTCGCCGTAGCTCAATTATGTGCATAAAAATAGAATTCTTAGCTTTTGATGTAATTTTAAAATACACAACTCACCTCTACCGACTGGCTGACATATGTTTGTAGTTGAAGCGTATATTTGTGCGGCGCAGTTGCAATGGAGTGCTCTTTTGGTCATTTCCTATGCAGAGATGAAGAAATGTGAACATAACACGAAATTTAAATTGAAAGTTACGCTTTTGACGACTCGAAAATATCAGTATTTGTTTAATAAAAGAGAGATTTTTGTGTATAAATAGTTTTTTGTTTTTTAATTAGAGACAAAGTAACACCTCTAAAGTCAAATATTCAATCTACGAGGTGTTTTCTAAAAATATCGGGAACTATCAGCTGTGCTCATTGCTTACTTTGCCTGTAGGAAGTTAGACTTGTCCTTATGAGCTTGGCAATTTTCGTTTGTTAAAAGCTCTCACTTTGTTGCTTGTCCGTGTATTTTTGGCCAAAAGGATTGCTTTAACGCTGCCCTAGCCTCTATATTCGTCGGACATATGCACCTTCATATTACCTTTTTCTATTTGCGAAAAAAAAGCGAACCGACGTTTTACATGCATAGATGACAATAAAAAGCTAAAGACTATCCTAAAAATCGAGCTTGAGATGTGTTTCGACGATTCTCTTATAAGTACAACACAACATTCAATCTTCAAAGATTTCCATTCAAAGCCTCAATAATCTGAAAGCAATCAGCCATATATGAAATCTGATAAAAAAATCTTCTAGGGCAAGAGCAAATACTTACAGAATACGAAAAAGTTTATACATCGAAGTATAGTATACTACCTCTGCGCTTTATGAGAGTTAAGTTTTCACTTTCCTAACAGCCAAGAACTTATTTGCACTTAAGGGGCTATTCTATTGTAGAAATAAAAAATAAAAAATATTTATTTCAACTATTGAAGGATATGTCTACAAGCGGATTTGTCAAAATTCAAAATATTTTCGGAGATATAGGTATTTTACAGATCTGGCATCCAAACTGGTTCGGTCGGAACTGAAACTTTAAACGCGCTCTTCTGAAAACTGTCTTATACAAAACGATACACACGATTTCTCAGATTCTACTAGACCAATTTACCTGAAATTTGTATTGATTATTCTTCATAGATTTGTCTAATTCAGTTTAAAAATTGAAACTTAAATTGAAAATTGAATTTTTAACTCAAAAATCGGAATTAGAAATTTTATATTCAATTTTTAACCACAAAAACAGTGTTAAAAATAAATAAAACAAGGAATAAGCTAAAGGTGATTACAAAGAAAAAAACTAGAAACTTCAAATTTAATGGAGAATGTTTATTATCATTCGAAAGAACATTATTTTGCATTTCTTATTTGAAAATCATATCTTTCAAATGTTGGCCGCGGCTACGTCTCAGACGATCCAATCATTGAGTCCAATTTTCGATGACTCGTTCGAGCATTTCGATTGGTAACTGGCGAATGACGTGCATTATGTTTTGCTCCAAGATCTGAATGAAATCGGGATTGTGTGTGTGATATTAAACGATCTTGGTGGCCAGTGCTCACTAGTATTCTCTGAATAAATCCACTGATTGGTGCGAGGTGTGGTAAGAGGCCCCGTCTTGTTGAAACCAAATGTCACCGAGCTTCTGTTTCAGGAATTAAATAGTTGGTTATCATGGCGCGATAACGGTCGCCTTTGACGGTTACGGCCCACAAGCCGTTGATTTATCTATATGAAATGGCAGCACTTGAATCTTTTCAGGTTACTCTTTTACCCAAATGCGAGCCTTATCGCTGAAAAAAAAACATTGGATTTTCTTGGGACTTTTAAGGAGTTTATTGAGCGAAGTAAAAAGTATATTAAAAAAAGTGAATCTACTTGGATCAGCCGTTACAAAACGAATAAGATATCGAGCGATGAAATATGATACAGTATGACGACTCTGTACGATTCTATTTTATTTAATTTTTTAATCCGGACTTTGGGATAAAAAATATTTTTAATTTTTCAATACGACAACAGGGCTCAAAAATTAGAGAATAATATTTAAATGAAATTTTCGGGTAAACAAAAAAATATTAAAATGTTAATTCAATTATTTTTAATGCATTATTTGCAAACCTACTTCAGAATAGAACTTATGGCCAACCAAGTGATATTCAAGATAGCTATAGAAGAGCGTTAACAAGTAAGAAGTACCGTTATTTTTATTTACTGAGATCTGTAAAACTAACGATTTCAGAAACATAGGCATAATATAGTTAATAATTATTTTTTTTGAAAGGAGTAAAATAATGTTTGCATAGAATATAGAAAAACGATTTTTTTTTGTTTAATAATTTCCAAATGTACAATAAACCTTAGGTCGCAGTGCCGACCTCAATTAAATTCTATGCTAAATATTTTCCAGCCGAATAACACCCATTTTACCAGCTGGGCTGCAATTTTCGGTATACAAAATTTCTTTTTCTATACTAAAGTGTGAATAATCAGACGCGCGCATCCATACATAGTATAGTTACATTCACAAACAYGCGCGAGCAAACAAGCACGCGCACATAAGTGCCATATTTTAGAGATATATGCGTATAATATATCTGATTATTTGATATATATATATATAATCAGTGTACATATGTACTTAGATATCTTATTCTCGCCGACGTCATTGCCGAAAGCGGATACCAGCTCCACATAAAACATATACACACAAGCTAGAGCTAAACTACCATCACCACTCCACCAATGAATATCACCACAAATGCGACAGATTCGCGCAGCGAGCTAACACCAACACTCCTAACACCGCCCAACTCCTGCCGCCGCCACACCGCTGTCTTGGCCAACTTGCCGATTTCCCAACAAAAAGCAACAATCAAGCGAGCGAACTTTGTCACCATCGGCTGCGCTGAGTAGCCGAACATGCCGAACACAACAGTTGTCGGTGAAGTGAAAGCCAAAGTCAGCAACAACAACATGCTCACCAATACCAAGATGCGTGAGGTAAGAAGCGAAGGCGAGTGGTGTGGGCTGCAACACAATCACCGTATTAATGAGACCAACAAATAAACAACTTAAAAAAAAACCAAAGGGGAAGAAATTGTAACGAAATCAACAACCCGCAAAAACAGAAAGAAAAAAAAACAAGCAAAGATAACAACAATTATATCAAACCAACCAGCGAACCTAGAAGCACCTTCAATGGGCCTTGCTCGGCTGAAGGCACCTCAGACCTTCTTGGGTGGGTGCATTTAATTCGCGGAACGCACTGGTAATTATGTACACACATACACATGTTTGTATGTGTGTGAATATGTGTTGTTTTGCGGTGTTAGCCTTGTCTAAACCATTTAACGCAGCGGGGGCATGAAGCAGTTATTCTTTATCTAGCACACTTGCCTTTAAATCCGGTCTCCCCTACATCTATCATCCGGTCTACCCCACACATCTACACACACACACTCACACTCGGTACCTAACTAAATTGGAAACTATCAGCGCCTGAATGCAACACAGCTCAGCTAGTAACCGTTCGCTCCACGATGCTTGCTATGGCGCCTGTGTGATTGCGGTAATGCGCGGGGCGCTACGGTGTAGTTGGTGTGCATTTATGCATGTGTTGGTTTATTCGTTGCATACACMATGTTCGGGTTATTTTTAAACTTAGATTATACGCTCTTTGTTGGTCTCGGGCAGCGCTGGTTGGTTGGTGTTCTTGTTGCTCCTTGGGGCGTTAGTCGTTCAGTGGCCACTTCTATTTTCAATTATATTTGCACTGTATTCACTTGAGTGGCTCATTTGGCTTAAGTTTCAACTATGTTATTTCTATTTTTGTTTTTTACTGTTCTTGTTGTTTTTATTTACACTTGACAGTACTTCCATGCTGATAGCAATAACACCGTATGCGCCACACAGCGGTAATTTCCATGCCCCAAATACGTTAATTACTCCGGTTGGTCGTGGTGTGAAACTTTTTGAATTTTTAAATAGCTCGGTTAAGCATATGGTGGGAAATTTTGTTTGGTGTCGTAAGTTTTTTTATAACACTTGTATTCAAATAAAATAATAATAAGCTTGGAATAATTGGAGCGTGTTTGGGATAGGCCCACGTACTCAATTATAGACAGAAACGAAATTTTTATACAACGTTGTGGAAGCTAAATGCTTCCTGTAGTCAGGATTGGTACACTTGCTAGGTCTGCTGATATCAGAAATATTTTTGGAAACTTGAGCTGGAAAACTATTGTTCGTTGGACCACTCGGTAGTTTTAAAAAATACTATCGTTTTTTGAGGTAGACCAACTTTTCGTTGGTTTAAATTTGTACAGTTAGTTTTAAGAAATATTTAGATCTATTATTTTAACGGGTGATCCAAGTAGAGGTATTTTTCTTAAAGCCTTTCTTTGACAGTGAGTCGTGTCAAGCTGTCATGTTATTTTTGTCCACTAGTGTTTGGCATTTCATCTTGGAAAGACTTACGCCTGAAAAACATTTACCAGTCGTTCGACTTTATTACAAAAATTCGCGTTCTTTAGAATGTGTTTTGCGGACTCCTTACTGTCATCATAATTGGCCTACTTAGCGTACAGTGCGCAATACCATCTCCCATCGTGAGACCCAACATTCATTATTGGAAAATATTATACCGAATTCACCAAGTCCAGCACTCAGTCGAGAAAATACAGCAGTCGTAGCTGAGAGTGTACATGAAGATTGTGCAGTATGGATTTGGCGCCGTTCGCAACAGTTCGGACTGACGTATGGACCGACTTGGCGCGTTTTACATTCAGATCTTAAATTGAAAGCGTACAAAATACAACTTGTGTAAGAACTGAAGTCGCTCGATCTACCATAGCGACATCGCTTCGCACTATGGGCTCTTGAAAAGTTCCAAGAAGATCTGATGTTTTCGAGCCAAATTTTGTTCAACCATGAGGCCCATTTCTGGCCGAATGGGTATGTAAACAAGGAAAATTGCCGCATTTGGAGTGAAGAGCAACTTGAAGAGATTCAAAAGCTGACATTTCATTCAGAAAAAGTAATGGTTTGGTGTGGTTGTGGGTCGGTGGGATCATCGTTCCATATTTCTTCAAAAAATATGTCGGTGAGAACGTAACCGTCAATGGCGACCGTTAACGCGCGATGAAAACCGACTATTTCATGCCTGAAATTGAAGCTATGAATGTCAGATGTTAGTTTTAACAAGACGGCGCCACTTCCCACATATCGCTTTAATCAATGTATTTGTTGAGAGAACACTTAGGTGAGCAGGTGATTTCACGTAATGGGCCATTATGTGCCACCAAGATCATGTGATACACCGTTAGACTTTACCAAGTAATTATTCAATTACATTCAATTAAAAGTGACAGTGTTAAAATTGATAGTTATTATTGTAATTACGCCGGCAACTATTTTGACCAATTCCAAATAAAAAATCTAGGGAAATAATTATTTCCAAAAAATTAGTCAAATATTTTTAAACATATTACACAGCGTTATATTTATAATTATTTTAAGGACCTTGAACAAATGTTCAAAGTAACGGACTACAATCCTAAGGTATTTCTGTTTCCTACTTGCGCCTAAAAGATGCAATAATTTTTGGCTTCATTATTAACGTCAAAGTCCTTCTTGTATAAAATTAGTAAATTTTTAACATTTTCACTCGATTGTTGGGTGGCTAAAAGCCATTTTCTAGTAAAGAAATTTCAACATGCTTCATTGGTTATTATTAATGCGTTTTCCAAACACTGTACTTACATTATTTTTCTTTGGAAATAAGAAATAATCTCAAAAGGTAATTCGTTACAAAAATCTTCAAGCAAAGGTTGCATAAAACTTCAAGTGGGCGTTGAAAGAAAACTTTGTCTGAAAGCGTATATCAGCTTGTCTGATATATTATAAAATATATATTACCACACGTATACATACACACACATAGATACATGCATGTATAAAATTTGAGAATTCATGAAAACGCCTACGCGGTTGTTGATGTTGGCATAACTAAAATGTTTACAGTTATTAGACATTATGTGTAGGCGGCCCACATACTTGTATATACATGTGGGAGTGTGTGTATTTACCAAAACGGCACTAATTTGCTGTGCTAAGCGTTTGTATGTATATGTGAACGCAAAACCCCATATGTTTGTTGTTCGTTTATGTGTGTATGCGCGAATATCAACCGGCCTGAAGTTTTTCAAATTTTTTCTATTCCAAGTCACACAAATCACTGACATTTTATGCAAATTTTTCTGAGTACTTAAGTTTTATATGGCGATAATCCATTTTGCATACCCCATTTCCCGTTAACAGTTTAATCTGTAGGACAGTCAGATGTACACGCAGCGCGCCTGAAACTATGCTTACAGTAAAATATATTGAGCTAATTTTATACTTAAATTGGGGAAATTATTCTTTATAAATTTAAAATTTATGATTTCTTAACTTATATATATTTTGCATAGGTTTCTGAATTTAAAATATATATTTTGCAATATGAGGTGACCAAAGATAAATTGGGCAGTGTTAACACTAGCATAGAAAAGAATCCGAAAAAATAAGTAACAACTAAACTTCGGTTACCGCGAGGGTATAGTACCCTTCACAAATACGAAGAGTCTTTTTGCGTGAGGGGTTGGAAAATGTCCTCCGCATCATCCATCCCCCCTCTAAGAAACCGTCGCCCAGTCTGGAACCACATTTGCATTACTTCAGGATGGCATTCCATTTTTCTCATCGAGAGATTTACATCTGCGCACCTACGTAGCAAAATTGATGCGAATTTCTGGATAATCTTCACTCTCTAGCATAACGCTAATTAAATTGTGCGCGATCATTGGGCCAGCCAGATCTTCTACGGCGTCATTTTCTGAGCCGAGTTATTTAAAAGTCGATTTCTCTGAATTTTCGACTTTTCCATGGTTTAAGGTCTTCTATTCATTTAGCCGTTCATCCGCCGCGGCTCTTATTCGCCCATCTTCGTTGCAATGTTGTTATTGTATCTTTCTTTATTTGTTCTATTTTTCGCTTATTATATTCGGATGTTTTCTTTTTCTCAGCTTTTTACTTTCGTATACCAGAAGCATTAACGCTTAAAAAAATCACTTGACACTGTTCGGTAGGCTGATGCTACTCTGAGAGTTTTAGTACTGTGCACTCTGGTCACCGCACATCTGTTCAAATCTCAGCTGTCCGTATAATAGGACGCTGATTGTCGTCCACATTAAGAGTTTTCTCTTTTCTTAGCTGGATTCCCCTGTGCTGGCCATTAGTCTGATAAGCTGCGAGGTGATTTTCGTTGCCTTTTTTGCGGCATGCTGGATTTTTACCCAGAACGTTTGTCTTGGGCCTATCGTATGCCTGCATAGTTTACTGCTTTCTGTGTTCTAAGAATATCCGTAGTCATTTGCATACTTATTTCGAGGGTTATGTGCACATTTGTTAGCAGTAGTAGCTCTATTTTTCTAAAGCGAGCTGAAGGTTATGTCATACTTACGTCCGCATAATGACCTTATTAAGCTTTTTTCGTGTTGCTTCTGTGTCTCGTGTTTTAATTATTACTGCGTTTTTGTTCGCATGGTCAATTAAGTACGATTCGTCTGGCATTTCGAGTTTTAGTGTAGCTGATGTTCCACAAGTCTGGACCAAGCATGGATCCTTGTGCTATGTGCAATTTTCAAACAAATGAGCAGCTTCTTGTGCAGTAGAGGACATTTGAGAATTTTCAGATCGACAAACAGATGGCTAAAGCAACACAACTCACCATGCTGATCAGTTATATATACATATGTATATAGAAGAGACGGATTTATTTTTTACACCGCTCATCTCACTTCGGTCTACAGCACTTAACTTCCACATGTTATTCCGGTTTGAATTCCTATTCAAAGATCTAAAGGTATTGCATTTGTGTCTTACAAGCATTCGGGGAATCTTTGGATGTGTTTCACCGATTCGAGATAGATTCACAAATTATATTTAATAATATCAAATTCTAATTTTTGAATATTAACTGGCACATATAAAGGAATGAGAAACAAAAAGGGGAGAATATGTAAATTCCACGACACATTCATGGTATGAATACAAAAATTTCCCTCAGTAAAAATTTGAATAACACAAAAGCGAAAAAGAATTGCTACCATCGGGTCGGCGTTCCATTACTATAAGCACTTCCTTGTACTTATTTTATTTCATTTGCCCTCCGCCAACCGATTATTTAATACCAGCAATTTTTCTTTCTACATTTCTACGCTTGTAGGGCTTCGACGCAAACCGTTACGCCAATTTCTGCAACAACCGTTTGATGTGTCATCCGATTATTTGGCCCAACTTATGGAGGAGAATGCGCGGCGGCGGCTACAACAAACATTCGAACAGCAATTGGAGCGCATTCACATGCAAATGAATCGGCAACGACAACGCGACGAGCGGCGCCAACGTTTGAATCAGCGCCTACAGATGCTTGCCGCCGAGAATGCGGAGGAGAGCAACGAGGATAGCGGTGAGGTTGAAATGGAATCTACGGAAGTCGATGACAATGCCTACGATGTCACTCAAAATCAAGATAATGTATATAGAAACAACAACAATAACAACCGAAATCAATACGTGGACCCGAACGGTTTCTTCACCTACAAATATGACACACCCATGGAGATGAATTTGCGTGAACGCATACCCTTCGCCGTGGGTCCATCCGATCCACGCTTCTTCGAGCAGAATAGCGGTGAAATTGAAAGTGCGCGCAACAGCGATGAGTTGGACTCTCGCGCCTTGGATGACTACCAGGAATTTGTACCAGCCGAGTCGCAGAATATTGGCGAAAAAGCAGCTGCTATTGCAGCGGTAAATACGTCAGCCGCCAACGCAACTAACACTGAGGTCTCGACAGGCGCGCCCACTGACGTCAAAACGCCTGTTCTGGCGCCAGCACCTGTTGATAGCGCGAAATTGAGCGACGGTGGCAGTACCACCTTCCATCGCATCAAGCCGCAAAACGTTGCGGCGGCAGCTGCGGTCGCGGGCGCCGGCGTCGTGGCGGCAATGAAGCTCCCAGTCGCACAGGACGCCAGCGATGACAGTAATGCACGACACCACATCAATGCGCTTATTGATAAGCTGCAGAAGGAAGGCAAGTCGGCGTCCATCGCCAACACACACGATGTGGCTGCAGCTCTGGGCGGTAACAGTATCGGTGGCGGCGACAATTTGGTGGTGCGTCAACATCTCGGCGTCGACGGCGAGATGGGCATGTATTTGGTGGCTTTGATTGCTGGCGTAAGCGCCGCTGTAACTGTGGGTTTCATAGCACTCGGCATAGCCTGGTACACGTAAGTAACCCCCAATAATTTTGCGATTGCGGCAGTCTTTTCTTTATTGTATGTATTGCCTACATTGCAGTTTGCGTCGCAAATCGAAAGCCGCAGCGGATGTGGAATATCCGGCGTACGGTGTGACCGGGCCCAACAAGGACATCTCACCGTCGGGTGATCGCAAATTGGCACAAAGCGCACAAATGTACCACTATCAACACCAGAAGCAACAGATAATCGCAATGGAGAATCGTCAGGCGGCAGAGGGCAGTTGCGGCATGTCCGATGTGGAGAGCGATGATGAGGAGAATGAGGAGGGCGATTACACTGTCTACGAATGTCCCGGACTCGCACCGGTGAGTGTTCACAAATCAAATTGCATTTAGAAAATTAGTATGTAGAAGAGGTGTGGAGTAAAATATTTGTTTTTTTTTTCTAACACACAGCCAATGGGCGAGATGGAGGTGAAGAACCCATTGTTTATAGATGAAACCCCAGTTACGCCATCGACCAACATCACCACCACAACCACGACCACCACTTCCACACCCATCATCACCAATAACCTGACACAAGCCACACCACAACAACCACCCACACAACAACTCGGCAAGAAGCCCACTTACAAGGTTATTGTTGGTGCTGCACCCAATCCCAAAGCTACCTCAGCAGAGCCTACGTCTTCCGAGGAGAATAGCAAACGCAAGAAGAGCAAGAAGTAAACCAACTAAGTGCAGCGGAACGGTGGAGCTCGGCGCAGTAGCGGTGCCTGGTGTTTGTGTTGTCAAATAGAAAAGTGTTCCACGCAAGTGAATTCGCGAGTGATTTGCTTAAGCATGCAAACAACGGGCGGAAGTGGAGAAACAGGGAAATGTGTGGTAACACGAGTGGTGCCATAAGATGCAAGAAATGGTGGCGCAAAGTATTACTTCAATTAATTTGTTGGTTTATCCACACTTCTCGAAGCGTTCAACTGGAAACCACTCTCTTTCACAATTCCAATTAACACAATAAAATAAACAGGTTATTCAAAATACTACATGTGCAACATAATAGTTGTTTGAGCTGCAACGGTGAGCGGACTTTGTTGACGAGGTCCACTTGCTGTTGTTGTAGTATTGTAAATACACTTTATATAAAGGAGAGGTTCTAATGAAGCGCAGTTTTGGTGTTAACGCTGAATGAAGGAAGGAAGTGGTAGAGTCTGTCAATATTTTTGCAATCGTGAATGTTGAAGGTTTGCCAAAATAATGCTTATTTTGATTAAATGTTCTTTAAATTGCGTAAAACTCATTTCTTTTTATTTTGTGCTGAAAAATAACTTTTGTTTTTGGTTAATCCAAAACTTGTCTTCACTATCAACTTTAATTGTATCTTCCAACTTAAATATAATATACAGATACATATATGTATGTATATTAATTTTAGTCAAATTAAAAATAAATAAA